GCATCAGGGCCCTAGAAACACCACTTGATACTGTGCTGGTCCATCTTCCATCAGCTTGCACACAAAGAGTGACAGCACACGGCCTGTAAACACCCTAGGATGCTAGTCACATTTCCAGTGTTCCTCTTTCCAGGTAAAAACCCTCACTGTTAATGGCTGTAATAATCATTTGGAGACATGCAAAGACTTACTAATACAAGGAATTTCAGGAAAGCAGAAGATTAATCTGCTCATCAAAAGAGGCACACTGCATCTTGCTCTCTGCGCTCTGCAGAGCTACCTTGGCAAAAGGGTAACAGGACACTTTTGCCCCCATTCAGTTTAAGCAGCTACTTCTGACTCAAGCTTGAAAACTGCACATGAAGGCCTTCTCCTGAGTAGGACAGCTACCCAAGTGTACTCTGACACCTGCAGTTACCAAGTTACTATACAAGGTCCAAATTACTTCTTCTGCAGAGAAGATAAAAGGATGGCATTCTTAAATACAGAATCACTAGTGGGTCATCTTCATTAAAGACACACTAATGAATACACGCTTAATCATAAAATAATGAAGAGCTGCCTTTAAAAGGTAGCCACATCCACAGCAGAACCCTGACTTCTCCAGTTTTAATTGTTTAACACTTGATTAATATTAATCTTCCTTCCTACTTGCTTAGATATTAAAGGACATTTCAAGTGCTACGCATCATGATTTAGGAGGTCTTAAGTCAACTTTGAATTTCCCCAAGTGTACTTGTAAGTGTAGGTGGAATAGGAATACAGAGTATGTTTTCTTTGCCATACCCACAACATAAAATTCATTAAAGAATATATTTGCAATTTGGCTTTTTTTCCCTAAAACCCAGCAATATCAACTAGTGTTTGGATAAGGTTACCGTCCTGTTAACATTGTGCTGAAAGCTTAACTTACACAGTGCTTTCAACTTAAAGTGCCTTTGTAAAGTGGACCTGCAAAATGCCTTGAAATCACATGCGATCCTACTAGCTAAGTCTATGGAAGACTTCTATTTTATGTTGCAATGTAAGATTAGACCTTTTGTTTCAAAACTTTTAAGAGTTTTCTACACTAGCCATAACACTGCTTATCATTAAAGTTTTTATAATTGCAAAACAGCCATTTATGAAAATGCTATAGGGAGCAAAGGAAAAAGTAGGAAGAAAAAGCAAAGACATAAGGATTTGCAATACATAAGCTTCAGCCACTGTTCAGTTCTTTCAATTACTTTGTGTTCTGGTTTCAGCTGGGATACAGTTACTTTTTTTGTAGCAGCTGCTGCAGAGTTGTGTTTTAGCTTTAATCTGAGAATAATGCTCATAACACATCAATGTTTTAGTTGTTCTTAAGTAGCTCTTACCCCAGTCAAGGAGTTCTTAGTCTCTCCTGCTCTGCCAGTGAGGAGGTTCCAAAGGGTTATTCCATACCACAGCACACCAATATATAAACTGGGGGGAGTAACCCAAAAGGGAAGGATCACTGCTCAAGCTGGGCATTGGTCAGTGGGTGGTGAACAATTGTGTTGTGCATCACTTGAATTTTCTTCCCCTCTTTTTCCTATCATTGCAGTATTTTATTTTATTTCAATTATTGAACTGCTCTTTTCTCAAGCAGTGTGTTTTACCTTTTTCTGACTCTCCTCCCATCCCCCTGTGAGTAAGCAAGCAGCTGTGTAGTACTGAGTTGCCAACTGGGGTTAAATTACCACCTCCACAAACAAGGGCTTAAGGCATAGGATTTGGGGGTTTTGCTACCTATATTAAATCTTTCCCCAAAGTTGATCAATGTACAAAACTCAAAAAAAAAACCAAACAAATACAATGCATAAGAGGTCCCCTGAGGTTTATTAATAGTTCAGCAGATCTCTTTTTCACTTGACTGTACCTGCACTGAACATCTACCATGATCTTGAACCTTTTGTTGCCCTACTGTGCAGGGTATGCAATGTTTCACAGACAAAAAGCATTTGCCACTTTGGGACTGCAAGACATGGAGTACCAATTACTTCTGCCAGAAGGTAACAGGACAGTGAAATAGAGCACAGCAAGAAAGCTGCTTTCATTCTCTCACATGACCTAATGTAAGCATCTGGAGAACTGAGAACGGAGGACAAGCATGACTATCCTTGGAAGAGGACTTCATAGGAACAAACCAAATCAAACAAGAAAACTATGAGACTGGAACAGAGGCAGGCTGGAAAAGGCTTTTAAAATTTGTTAGATGGCACAACACATATTAAGAGCTGAACACAGGATTTTCAAGTCTCAACCATTTTCTTCTATAACAGCAACTGATGGCAATTAAAATCCATCTAGCAGTTAATCCACTACTACTCCCAATTGCAACAACACCTACTTTTCTTGACTCAAACTAGAGAAGTTGAAACTTTTCTAAGAGTTTGTACACAGAAGAGCACAGTTACTGTGATGGGATTTATTTCCATTTGCTTTCTGAAAGAATTTTGGGAAATATTAGAAGTTGCAAGGTCAGGAACTCCAAAGTTCAGCGCTAAATAGTCAACTATTTAACTGACTGCTCAAAGAAATTGCTGCTTTAGGTCACTTTCCTTTTACTAAGTCTATCCCATAGGATGAATATGCTTTGGGAATTAAGTAGGGTTTTATAAAGAGCATTTGTCTGCAACAAAAGAGGTCTGCTGCTTAATCTCAGAGGCACCAAATGAACAAATGTTGCCCTGGAGAACAGGATCCTCTTGTCCTCTGCTATCCAAACTTGCGAATGATGGCAGGCACATCATTTAAACCAAGTATTTCACCAGGCAGCATCAATCAATCTCTGGTTCTCCACTTGACTTAGCAGAAACCTGAAGTCAGAAGTGCAGAAAATTTGAACTACAAATGAGGTCGAGATGCTGATGTTCCGAACATATATCCTGGAGGAGGAACACTGGGAAGATGGGAATCAGAGCTTAGCCTTAAAAAAAATGACAAGAAAATCAGACAGTTCATCCCTTAATACATTTCCATTCTGCCCTCCTTCAGTTTCATTTCTCTTCCTTAGGCTTTCCCGCAGCTTTTATAAGATTTATTTTCTCCCTCCCTCATTCTTTCCAAAGTTTGTATGTGTCTCAGTTCAGCTATAAATTAATTTACAGAAATGAATTATCCTCATCCTCATAAGGGAAGTACAAAGATAACAATTACTAGCATTTTATGGGGTGGTGGTGGCGAATAATTACTATTACAAAATAAATAATTTTGGTCCTGCAGTAGGATCTCCAATAGTACTTTTAAGGAAAAGCCTTCACAAAACCAATGCTAATAGCAAATCTAAATGTCTGTGTGAAGCTAATGGTCTTCTGATCATACCCGCAAAATAATTCATTCACAGTAAAGACTGAAAACATGTTTTGTCCTGACATTATCCTTCTTGAGTTTACTAATTGTTGTTCTTTTCATTTGCATGTCAGAATATTACTTCAAGTCTAATGCTTTCTGCTTGCAAATGACAATCAAACTGAATCAAGATTCAAAAATCAAACAGATAAAAAATTACAGCTCTATAGTAAAGAACTAACACCAAAAAAGATACCACCACGCTATTGTCCACTGATCCTTCCCCTTTTCTCCTCCCATCAAATGTATAAGAAAAACAGTAAGTAGCTGAGACATTTTCAACCATATTATTCAAAGATTTAAGTAATTTAGGGACAAAAATATTGAAACCAATATATTGGAAGGGTACCTCAAAACATGTATGGAATTATGAAATGTGGTAGGTAACATTGTACAAATATACAGGACAAATGTTTTAAAATATTGCAAGTCAAAAGATAAATTCATATAGGGAAGTAAAACCAAATCTTTTAAAAATGTCTGATATTGATAAAGTATTGCAATACTGAAGTTAAAACATTGATTTAGACTTTAAAAGAAAGCTTAAATTCTGAAATTTAGCTACATTAGCACAACTCAAAGCAGATACTCAGACTGGGAGCTACAGTTTATGTAGCACAAGTTACTGTTGAGCAAAGAAGGCAACATCTGTGTTCTAAGTCTGAAAAAAACTAATGTTAAAAGAGAAGATTAAAAAAAAAAACAACAAAAATTGGCAAAAAAAAACCCAAACTGAATTACACATTAGAGAAAGAAAAGAAAAAAATAAAAGAACATTCCCTTAACCTAGATCTGTGGAATGGGCTGGGATTTGTTTTCTTGCACACACCATCGTCTGTGGCAAACAGTATAAGAAAATGATCTGCATCACCATTAATTTAATGCCAACACAAAAAAGCAAGTCTTAATCACCGAAGAGATTATTTTTTACCTCATTTTTGTATACTGTCAAAGACTGAGTTCCTAGTCCATGAGCTGGCCACTAAGATGCTAGCATAATACAGGTAAATGTATTGCACTTAAAGATCGCAATAAACACTAAAGCTGAAAACCCCCCAAACCCCAAAATCTCATACTTCCATTCTCAACGGTTTTAAACCATGTGTGAACATTATGCACACTAACAGGAAATATTGAATCTTCTCTGCATTTTACATCAAAGAAAATTGTTTTCAGAAGGGAGAGACTTTACACAGCATGCATTTTCCATTTCAGCCTTAGACTGCTGAAAAAGTAGTGTGAAAAGTACTTTCAAATAAACTACTGAATGAAAAAGAACTATAAAACCCTGCCATATCAATTTGGAAGAAAAGAGATACCTCAGTAACAGTTTGAGATTGGGACTATTATTACTAAGTCCTGTCTGAAAATCAGAATTAAAACATAGTATAGATGATCTTCTGGAGATGCTCAAGTTATAAATAAGTTTATTATAAAGAGACTGTTTCTCATGACACCTTTTAACCAAGCCATGGATCCAGGACACTCCCTGGTAACATTCATAGCAGAAAGCAAGCTATACTTCAACCCATTAAAACAGTAATAGCAACTGAAATTGAGTAATTAACCTATGAAATAACTTGTAACGCTTACAGAATTTCAACAGATGTGGTTTGAGGGGTGTTAGGGAAAGATTGTTTCAATACCTTGTCTTCCCTCATCATTGGTAAACAAACCAGCATCACTGCTGCTCAGACTGCTGGATTCACTGTAATAAGAAAAAGAGAGAACACAGATCAAAAGAACAATTGATCTTTCAGTCGTAAAATTTTAAGGAGACAAGGCTGTGTTCAGATTGAACTTAAGCCCAACAGAGATCGGAAAGAAAATAGGATTTTCTCTTTTTTTTTTTTTTTTTTAATCAAACTGCAAATATCTCAGTTCCATTAACTACAAAGCATATTATTTTTGGCACATAAAACCATGGGAATCTAATGGTACCCTGACAGGAAGCCAGATGTGTCAGTACCTTGTTGCAGTCGCAATTGATGCATTTTATTATCTGCTTCCATCAAATGCTCACCACTCCCTTCTTATGCTGTGCAATTCAGCTTGATCCTGGAACACCACTGCTCAATAAACCAGGAAAAGTCTCAATCAAAAGCAGCCTAAGCCTTCCATCAGCACTTGAAATATAAGCGTCTGAAAATCAGATTACCTTTCTGAACACCATTTGCAAATATTCTGGAAAAGACATTGCTTAAGGTTTAACAACATACTGCTTGGGGAGAAAGACAAAAGGTGTTAATAAAGGTGGCCAATTACATCAAAATACAGGTCACCCTGAAGAAAAGAGTTAACGATCAATGATCATTTGCTGTAGACACATTGTTACAAACAATATCTCACATGTGTATTTAAATAACATTTTAATTGCACAATAATTTTTACTGAAGGAGCAGCCAGTTCATGAAAACAGAACCAAGTGAAATTGCCAAAGTTGCACAGAACAGTATTTTGGGTTTGGGTTGTTTGGGTTTTGTTGGGGTTTTGTTTTGTTTTTGGTGGGGGGGGCAGAGGGGTTATGGAGGGTGGGTGATGTTTGTTTGGTTTTGTGGTTTGTTTTGTTTTGCTTGTTTTTAAAATCAAACCATAACAGTGGCATATCTAAGGCAGCCAGTGTTCATTCTCCTCAGACCAGAGTCAAACAGGGCAGGGATTACAGCAGAACGAATTTCTATATGGCAGTCATTTCACTGAAGACATTCAAAACCTCTGGAATACTCAAGTACATGAATGCTGTTATGATGGAATTTATTTCCAGTTTTAATATACTTTTGCACTGTACGTTGCTAATTACTTTGCTTTGTAATGAGAATTCCACTCCTAAAAAGAGACTTCCAGGAAAAAGCAAGAAAGATTTCTTTTAGTCCCATAAACCAGTATATGCAAGCAAAAATTTGGAAGGGACAGCTCTGTTCTCCAAAAAGCTTTCACAGCTTTACTTATACATTTCTGGAAGCAAAGAAAAAAATATCTTTTATTATTACTTATTATTAATAGCACACTGTCTCATACATTAGTTTCATATTGTGACCTTTGTTTACTAACCAAGCCTGTCCCCAAGAGCTGACACTCACTGTGCTCACACTGACTGGTGAGTGTCACTTGAGCTTTACTGCTGCTCTTTTCAAAATGGGCAATTGAGATTTTTCCTCCTTTAGTCACTTAAACACAAACAATTGCCACAGCCTGAGGAATTAAGTATCATCCAGAACTCCATGAATTGCCAAATCTGCCTGAAAGTGGCCAAGAACTAAGCACTGAGGATAAGAAGAATGAGCAAAGGACAGGCTCTGACCATGAAAATCTCATTTCCAGTGCTCAAAACCAGCCTCATGGTAATTCATCTTTGGGATCATTTAGATGCTGACATTTTAAGAGCTTGAAGACTCCTATTCCTGAATGATGCACTTAAAACCAGTTATTGTGGTGTTTGAACACACACAGATAAAAGACTGCAGAAGTGCCATTTAGCATTTTTAATGTGCACTTCAAATGTGTTAAGTTACTTTAAAGTAATTTCATGCATACACTTAAAACTTGCCCTCAGCAGTTTTAGAACCTAATTTAACTCCCACCAACAGTTGATTTTGGTTTGTTTTTAAAAACCAAACTTCTAAAAAATTAATCCTTTATTTTTTATTAAAATTACTGAACTGTATGCACACAAATGTACAAAATTCAAGCAGATTTGTATACTTCATATTTTTCCTTTTTCGTGAAGTGTTGAAGCATGAGTCTTATCCAAGATGCTTTGTTAGCTCTCTGTATCTCATGCAACCTTACAAAACCCATGTTCCCTTTTAAAACCTCAGCTTTTACTTTTAGAATGTACTTTTAGGAGCAATGTTTGCTAGTTGTTTCCAATTCTTCTGGCTAAATGATCACAAACAATAGAGGAAAGGTTGCATTTAAGTAAAGTTAGCTAAAATGGAGCTAAACTAATTCACACACAAAATATCCAGTAGGCACCCAAGAGGCTTAGACATGGTGGATTTCTAAGCACATTAAAAAAACTCAAATTTTCTAATTCAATGGTTTCCAAAACTTTTGGTACCAATGACCACTGCAAGAAATTCAGTAGAATGACAGACCATCACTCAACCACATGCATGAGCAGAAAGCATTGTGAAGATAAGAATGGTTTTAAAGGCCATTTATCAGGGCCAGAGACAAACATTTGAAGCATGATTTGAAAATGAGCAGCTTCTGGGGTAACAAAACATTAAACATTTGGAAGAGGAATTTTTAAATCAGTAACTTTGTTTCGGTGAAAAATAAATAAATAGTCAGAGTGAGGTGGAAGTAGCACAGTTTGGAGACTCTATAAGAGGACTTTTGATTGAGCACTTTCTGTCCACCCAAAAATTAGCTATAAAAGTTCAGTTAGAGAACTGATACTCTTGTAGCATAGCAGAAATCTTATACATTGTGACAGGGCTATGGATGTATTATAAACTATGCAATGCTTCCTAGCACCAAGGAAATGTTTAGCCGTCTTTACAGGAACTTTTTGGGGGGAACAGACTCCCAGAGTCAAATAAGAGGAAACTTTTCTAAAGGCTTCCTGACACCACACAGTCCTATCTTGTATATCCAAGGGAGATGCCTGAAGTTACATTAGCTGCCCTGAAGGACTGCTTCTGCTCTAGTAATTAAAGCATCAGAAACAATCTTGAAGACTCATGATTTATTCAGCTTTCAGCTTATTGTTTGCAGGTGAGAGACAACACTAGGATGTAATAGTAAGGCTTAGAACTTCTCTGACAATAACTGGAGTTAGTCGCTTACCAGCACTGCTCTTATGACAGTAATTAATCTGTTTGCACTGGTCAAAACCCCAGGATACTCTCTGCATCTCAATCTACCTCTCCAGCAAGGAAAACACTTAACAGTTTATAGATAAAACGCTTACAAACAGCCAGGGACACTACTGTAACAAGCAACTGACCAAAATTATCTGTTTTCATATGAGCCTTTCTTGTTGACAGTTCTGCATTCAGAACAGGCACATGGAATAAACATAATCAAGCTTAGCAGGCCCTGCAGGTAAGGCGGAAAAATGACTTACACCTTCCTGCGTTGTCAAAACAGTACTTTGGAAACAATTACCATTGTAGTATGACTGCTGTCTGGAATGGATGGATGAGATGTACTGCCAAAGGGTCATCATTCCCCCATTTTTCTAATGGTAAGCTCAGGTGTTTCTGAACTGTAAATTGGTTTTTGCATTTTGTAAATGATATATACCCTTGGCAACCTGCAGCCTTTTTATGCCCATGACACATAAGAACATACTGCCTAAATGGTGACTAAACACTGACAGCCTTTCTGATGAATAGAGATAACAATCAAGGCACCAAAGTCTAGAAATTGGAAAACCAATTTTTGTCCGAGAACTGTCATCAGTTAAAATACTCAGAGAAAACATATTAATCATTTGTATATTCTGTCATTCTTAATCTTGAGAAACAATTAGAATGTATTATTTAAAGAACCTGCTTTCTTGGTTATTCCTCTGCTACATGACATACTATTTTACACTGAATTCCTTAACCAGAGCAACTCATATGTATGAAATATAGTACACTTAAAGAGTAATTTGTTAAAACAGATACTACTGATGCTAGCATTTTCCCTTTGGAATGCAAGAAAAATACAAAGATTACCAATACGAGAAACAAATAATAAAAGCAAATATTATCCAAAGTTTCTGTAAAAAGGAAGAGAAAAAATAACCTGTCACTCATGTTCTCATCTGAGCCTTTTTGCTCCTCATACTCCATTTTGTCCTTATTTGCTTGGGTCACTTCTTCACTTTCTATAACTACTCCTTCATCCAAGACTTCTGGTCCTTGTCGAGCTGCTGCTACTTTTCTTTTTTTCACTTTGCTCTTGGAGAACTCTTGGTGTTGGTATGATTTATTGTTATTGTCCATTTCTTGATCTCTGCTGTTATCCTGCTGTTGAGTTATTGTCAGTGCATTAGAGACTTCTGATGGCAGATCTATTGCCATCCGTTTTACCTTTCTTCTTCTGCGCAAAATTCTGTTTCCTAAACTGTCGACAGCTAAATCTGGTTCATGCCACAGAGGCCTTTTGCCTCTAATGTTATTTAAGTTTGAGGAAGGCCTGCGCTTAGCAACCAACAACTGGTCATCAGAGTCACTGTGGTCTTTCTTATTAGCATGATTCTCCCTGTAGTCTTTGTTTGATTCCTCTAAACTGGAATCAGAACCTTCGCTTAAGCAGTGGCCAGTCTCCCAGGGATGATGGGTGGTAAATGAACGCCTTTTGCGTCCCCTCCTTTTCCTTGCCTGACGCTTGAGAAGACAAGACACACTTCGAGAATGATCTCCAGTATCAGCAAAACCTCCTCGTGCTTGCTCTGAACTTTCTTCCAGTGCTGAGACTAGATCGTGAACCAGCTCCTCCATCGTCCTACTGAAATGCCTACATATTTCAAGGGAAAAAGCACACAAGAAAATATCAAATTAATCTGAAGTGTTAAGCATAAACTGTAACACTTTTACCAGCCAAAATCATTATAGTCACTTTCAGTAAGGTAGTCCTAAATAGCCATCCTACAAAGATTAGTTTTTCTGCTGAGAGACAAAACCTTGCTGACCAATCCTATGTAATTTGCAACACAACAGCATACATCCTTTTTCAGATAGCATTCCACACACATTTCTGGCTTGAAAGAAGGGGAGATAGGGGGAAGGTATCCTCAGCTCGTGTTTGACCTCGCTATTATTGTTTGGTTTCAATTCACCTCATCACATTTGTATGGTCTTTAGGGATTCTGCACGGCAAGAGCATCAACAAAGACCATTCACTCTAACTGCAGGTAGCGAGCACATTTCAAATGTGTTAATGGAAAATGGGATACATAATATTCTTCCTTGACAGCAGATTTGGGAGTTCTCTTTAAAATTTGTCATTATGATAAAATATTTTTAAGAATAATTATGTCTCAATGCTGCCTAAACGCCAAAATGCAGTTAAGACAGTAATTATTTGATAATATATGACTCTTTCATAGTGACTAATTCTGATATCTGTTTCTTTTAAAATATTGATTCAGTGGAGGGATATTAAGTGGAAACAATACCCTGCTAGAGGGAATTCCAGAGTATTACATACAAAGTTTCCCATCACATATAGGCACCTACGTGACAAAATTACCTGATTGTGCAAGGAAAAGTATCACCGAACACACAGTGTCTAAGGCCTTATCCTTTTTTTGCTCTTTACTCCTCAAATTTCACTAGCATTTAGCATGACTTTGACCCTGTAATGCTTCAGCAAGTTCACCCATGCATTACATGAACATAATTACAAAAAGAAAACATTAAGAGATCACTGCTCAATTCTAATCATTCTCTGAAGGCTGTGAACCTCCTCTGTGAACACAGCAACCAGATTCTCACACCAAAGCATCAGAAGATCCCTTTCACTGAGGTAAAGCAAGGAGTAACATTCACCCTCTTTATTACATTACATCAACTGATAAAAGTGGAAGACATTCAGTAAATTATGTAGAGGATGCTTAAAAGCAAGACTGTTCACTTTATTTTACAACAGAAATTGATGGATGAAGAGGAATTGGAGATGTGGAGAAAATCTGAATACGTAGCACACGGGGTCACCTCTCTCACTTATCACAAATGCCAGTGCTAAAGGTACTTAATGGTGAATGGACACTCACTACCTTAAACTACACAAGTTTTGAATATCATTGGGGGAAATGAAGAGCATGTTTAAGATGAAGTCCAAGCTGATTGTTAAATATCTTACCTGAAGATATTCAGAAAAACTTACTGTAAACCTTCCAATTGCAGATGCACAGAGAGTGGTAGAAACACAAGCTCATTCTGAATTCCTGAAACTACTGTGTCATTTGCATTTATTTCTCATACCTCTTTCTCCATCCTGCTGTAATCTCTAGTCCTATTACTCCCTATTAACCTAACATTCCCTTTGGCTCTTAGTATAGCACAATCATCGTATCTAGTAAGAGCTGAGACAGCTCTGGAAAAATGCTACATTTTACCCTTAATCCATTTGGTTCATAAGATCAAAACCTCCATAATCACACAGAAGTATTTCTCACAGGCAAGAGAAGCAACACAGGAGGAAAAGCATTCCAAATGAAGCAATGATTTTCTGAAAAGTCAGGAAAAAAGTGGAAGGCAATTAAGTAAGGAATTACTTTGAGACATAGAATCATAGAATGGTTTGGGTTGGAAAGGACTTTAAGATCATCTACTTCCAGCCCCCTGCCATGGATAGGGGCACCGCACACCAGACCATGTCACCCAAGGCTCTATCCAACCTGGCCTTGAACACTGCCAGGGATGGGGCATTTACCACATGTGGCATAACAGTGATTTCAAACTAATTCTTCCTTCAAGTTTTCAAAGTTTCAATTACTGCAGAGAGGTCTGCAGAGTGCGGGGCATTGGTCAGGGTTTTGCTTGAGTTTTTTGATTGTGTAGTAGGAATTTCAACCACCAGGAGATATAAGTGCAGCTATATTTGTATAGGGTTTCTACACACAATGCTTAGATATATTAACCCATGTTTTTCAGTAGCTGTAACTGCACAACTAGTCCCTTTAGCCTTATTGTTAAACATCTATGAAGACAACTATCCTCACAAGTGCTCTTATCAGAAATGAGATGCCCTTGAGATTTAAGGGGCTTTCCAATACTGCAGCACTAATATAATAGGAGCTGTAAGGCTTGAACAGGCAAACTCTATTTGGGTTAACGAGACATCAAGTCTCCCAGCTGCCTGTCCAGCCCTTCTGGCACAGACTTTTGCACTGACAGTGAAGTCACAGTAGTGGAGGTACACCAAAACCTCAACTAGTGGGCTTAAACATACATTTAGTTTTTGAAACAAACAGGTTTCTGCTCACTTGCCAGAATATGAACTAGCATATATAATCTCCCGGAGCACAAAGTAAGAGGGAGGGGAAGACAGGAACACTAATCGCTTACACCACAGTTTATGGTTAATTCATTCAATTTAGTATCCTTAATCCATATGGATAACTATCACTAAAATCAATGTAGCTCCTACAGTGGACACACCAGCTTACTCGAGGTAACAGTCTAAGTATGGGGCTAGAGTTGCCTTAGTTCTATGAAATACTTCAAGATCAAACACAAACTATCCAGCTTGGATTTATATATCCAACCTAAACTTGCCTTCAAATCCTCCCAAAATGTCGTCAATACAGATAGTCCAGACCAAAGATGAAACTCAAGAAGAGTAAATACCCTGAAGTAATGAGATAACATGATTCTTAAAACGCCCTGAGCAGTAAAGCACTTAATTTCCATTAGACAAGAACTTTGAATTTTATGCACTCCTGCAATTAATCTGTCCTAGTGAATATCAGGTCTCTTCATTGCAGCTCCTGAACTAAGATCTATACAGGGCAGCAACCTCGTTCACACTAAAAATGACACCCATAGTCTCATATATAACATAGAATCATAGAACAGCTAGAGTTCGAAAGGACCTTAAGATCATCTAGTCCCAACCTCCCTGCCATGGGCACGGACACCTCACACTAAACCATGTTACCCAAGGCTCTATCCAATCTGGCCCTGAACACCGCCAGCGATGGAGCATTCACAACATACTTGGGCAACCCCATCCAGTGCCTCACCACCCTTACAGTAAAGAATTTCCTCCTTATATCCAATCTAAACTTTACCTTTAACTTTTAACCCATTACCCCTTGTCCTGTCACTACAGTCCCTAATGAAGAGTCCCTCCCCAGCATCCTTATAGGTCCCCTTCAGATACTGGAAGGCTGCTATGAGGTCTCCACGCAGCCTTCTCTTCTCCAGAGACTGTTCCAACATGTCCTTTCATGTTGAGGACACCAGAACTGCACACAATACTGCAGGTGAGGTCTCACAAGAGCAGAGTAGAGGGGCAGGATCACCTCCTTGGACCTGCTGGTCACGCTCCTTTTGATGCAGCCCAGGATATGGTTGACTTTCTCGGCTGCAAGCACACACTGAAGCTGGCTCATGTTAAGTTTCTCACTGACCAAACCCTCAGGTCTTTCTCTGCAGGGCTGCTCTGAATCTCTTCTCTGCCCAACCTGTAGCTGTGCATGGGATTGCTCCCACCCAGCTGTAGGACCTTGCACTTGGCATGGTTAAAGCATCAGCCCACCTTACAAGCCTGTCAAGGTCCCTCTGGATGCCATTCCTTCCCTCCAGCAGATCAACCAAACCACACAGCTTGGTGTCATTGGCAAACTTGCTGAGGGCGCACTCAATCCCACTGTCCATGTCAGCGACAGAGATGTTGAACAAACCGGTTCCAACGCCGATCCCTGAGGGACACTACCGATTACTGGTCTCCAGCTGGATACTGAGCCATTGACCACAACTCTTTGTGTGCGGCCATCCAGCCAGTTCTTTATCCACCCAGTGGTCCACCCATCAAATTCATGTCTCTCCAATTTAGAGACAAGGATGTCATGCAGGACAGTCTCTAACCCTTTGCACAAGTCCAGGTAGATGATGTCAGCTGCTCTACCCCTATCCATCAGTTCCGTAGCCCCATCACAGAAGGCCACCAAATTGGTCAGGCAGGATTTTCCCTTAGTGAAGCCATGCTGGCTGTCACCAAGCACCTTGCTGATTTTCATGTGCCTTAGCATGCCTCCCGGGAGAATCTGCTCCAAGATTTTGCCAGGCACATAGGTCAGACTGACTGGTCTGTAGTTCCCTGGGTCATCCATCTTCCCCTTCTGAAAATGGGGTTATATTTCCCTTTTTCCAGTCATCAGGAACTTCACCTGACTGCCATGATTGAACTGTATGTATACATAACTGTACCCTAATTGCATTACCTCTTAAAGCAGATAAATCAATATTTTAGTTACTTCAACATATGTTTCCTTACGATGATTATGAAAATTACTTGATCAGCTGGGACAGTGGAAACTCTTTTGTAATAGATTGTGAAAACAATACACATACTACTTCAGCTTTTGATTCACATTGCATTTTCAACATGCCAGTGATCCACACTAAATCTCCTTCTGAATAGCCAAGAAACCTCTTACGATTAATTTAACTGGATCAATCATTTCTCTTGCTATAATTGAAGAAAAAAAATGGCAACAGCAACATCTAGAACAGTTAATCTGAAATCTGTCTCGAAAATCAGGAGTGTATTTCTATTTCAGCATTATTTATCAAACTCACTTTTGCAACTTTCTCCATTGTTTACAACCAGCTTGTATTCCAAACCTATGAAGTCATTTAAATCACTGCTGCAGATGTTTCTGTAACAAAAATATTTGCTTTTGAAAAATAACCACAAGAAGCATTAAAGGTATTACTGGGGAGTATCAATTGCATACAGTAAGATGAGCAACTTCAAAGGTTGTAATAAGGAATGTAGAACAACATATTGAGGTACATAAAATATTGAGCTGTAGTTTAGCATGACTCACGTAAGGCTATAAAAGTGCTTTTACAGCAACAGCCCACAGCTAGCAATAAACTCCAATGTCTTTACTAGAAGATTCTACTTTACTATAAGAAAACCTAGTTTGCCTACACTGACCTTTACATTTATATGAAGTAATTTTTCACGCAGTTTAAAGGGTGACCCATTCCCCCTCTAACCCTTACCAGAACAGACCCTAACAGTATTGCTGCAGGCAGCAGTGTAACTGTCCTCTCCTGCTCCAAAACAGTTCATGCAGTTTGTGTTCAATATGATTAGTATTGAAACTCCTAATGAAAATAATGGGCAGTTCCTTTTCTAGTGACAGTCAAGTACCATTTTAATTCACTTCCCACCTAAAGCATGAAAAAATGCAGAGCTGACTACGCATGAAATATTTAACAAACACCCACCGACAAGAAAGCTAATTTAGTCACACAACTCGTATAGAGGCAGTACCTTTTACTAAACCAAGAGCTGCATTTACATTTACTTCCTAGTTCTAAACCTTTTCCTGCTAAATACATATGGGGTTTATTGCAGCTAAAGTTCTGCTGCATCTGTATCTCATCACTTCCGAGAAGAGCCATGATCTTTGCTGCCTTCACAATCCACACTGCTCACAAGTGAAGAGCACAAGAAGAAAACCAAGTAGTTCCTTGCACATTGGGATTATAAACCCGACTTCCCCATATCTTTTCCCATACAGATTCTCTGATGCCTTGTAACATGTCTGTATTCAGTGTATCTTTATCTTCTGACAGGCACTAATTTGAATCCCATTTCTCCACCTCAGAAGTTATTTTCACAAAGCCTTAGAATCACTACTTTTGAGACCTCTGCTGTCATCAAACAGCTATCACCAAGAGGAGGACACAAAGCATCCATTTCCACATCCACATGTATTTATGTCCTTAGGCACTGGACAACCAGGTACACAGACCTACACAGTGGCCCAAAAGCCTTCGACCCATTGCTGAGGGGCATAACAGCGCGCTATCAAAAAACCCCTTATTCTTCCACTTCTGAGGAACCTGCCCAGTGCTTCCTGTAAAGGCTAACAGGAATTTGAGGAATAGGTGGAATTTTATTAACTGATCATGCCACTGATCCCCTAAAAATCAGGGACAGACAAAGTTGCAATAATTTGATTTTTCTACAACTGCTGCTTATTTAAGAAGGCAGAACAATAAATACTATCAGGTCTACTCAACAGTGAAAGCATGTTCAGTACAGAGCAATGGTATAGTATACAGTCAGGAAGAGGCTGCCATGAACCTCATTTACTAAAGGTCTAACACAAATTAATTGGTCAGCTAGAAATGAGTTTTGCAGCAGTTTCTCATAGAGGTAGCAATTCTTGCGATCCCATTGCTGCCATTTCTTGATATGCTTGCCCTTTGCAGAAGTATGACTTCATTAAACTTCAAGGTGGTGAAACACACAAACTGTTAAAGTGTCAATGTCATTATCAAAAGAATCAAAGTGCCCAGGAAGAACTCAAATGCAAACTATTACTAAACTGTCACAATATATAAATTCAAAACATTCAGAGGAGTTTTATCACCAAAGGTGAACACTTACTCTGGGGCTGTCCTTAATCTACACACTTCTTCAGGGTCTTCATGTTTTTAAAAAACACAAGTTCTTAACTGTCTACATCAAGCACTAGACATCAAATAAAATATTTTCCTCACTCAAATGGGTTTTCTTTAACAGGCAGCTTCTGAAATAGATGATGTATAAGACAGGGTCCTAAGGAGCAGTCAGATTTTTAACAGTTCTTCAGAACTTCTAAACTAATAGTCCTATAGATAAGACCTCAATAATTCTCTCTGCACTGAATTGCGCCAGGCAGCGTAATTGCAGAAGCAAAATTAATACTGTCTGATGACAATGACAGAAGAATAGGCCAAATTTTCACACCTTGTGCTGATGAACACTATTTCTACATCCTCTGAATGAAATTATTTTATGTGGAAACAAACCAGTAAAATTTAAAGACAAATGACAGGTTGAGTATGCAATGAAAACTTCCTCTAAGTACAGATACAAGTTTGGAATGTCTTCTGCAATGTGCCTACTGTATGCAGCATTAGTACTAAAATAAAAATACTTCTACCACTACAGAATATCACATTCTCTGAAGCGTTCTGAACTACATCCACAAAAGCAAAGTTACACTTATGCTGGGCAAATTTGCATGCCAAGCAATACTAGCATATTTCTAACAAATACACATCAGCTGGGCAAACAAAATCCCTCTCTGAAAGCTTTCCTATTTAGCAAAAGATAAAGCAGCACAGCACCAAAATACAGTACAAAAGTGGCAGTAGCAGCAGAAGTGCAGGGAAAAAAATGGAGTTTCTTATGTAAGAAAATGAAGTACTAAGGCTTTCTTTTCCTCTTCTTGCCCATCCCCAGAAAATAAACAAACCCACTTATATTAAAAAACAAATCTATTGCAGATGTGGGAACTCTACCAGCAGGTATCTGTATGATAATACAGCCTCGAAACAAAGCCTCAAGTCCTCAAATTATCAACACTCAAGAAATAACCACAAACAAACCCCTACAATGCTCCTCCCCACTTCCATTAAGGAAAGTGAAATTGACAAGAAGTTACACACATCGGTCCATACTATGTAAGCACAAGATGGCAACGTTTCATGAAGGAAATTGAAGGCTTCCTGGCTGGCCGTTTGGGACACCTGGTTTTCATCAAGTCTCTCCACTATCAGTCTTTATAGCTCCATGGCCTGTTAACAAAACTCACTTCTCTCTTTTTCTGTCCTGTTAATCAGCATCTCCTCAGCTCCACAATAAAACCACTATGGCCTCTGGGGTCACTATGCTATGAATTACATAAACCAGTCAATCTGTTAACTCCACCGCAGGAGCATCACCCCATCTTTTCCTTGCTCACTGTCTAGAGCTACACTTGTTGATTCCTGGTTTGGAACAACATAGCTTCGGAGCAGCAACACCACCTGACTGGGTGTTTCTGCAGGATACACTGCAAAGGGTTTAGTCCTCAGAGGGTCTACATCGATCGGAGCAACCCAAACACACAGACAAAACTCGCCAAGTTTCAATCCATCGTTTACCTGCTGCTCCTTTATTAGCAAGGAGGCGGAAGTTCCTCCTTCCAGCACATTGCTCACCTATAACCACGGCGAACCACCCGTGCCCGGCCTCCAACGCCTCTGACCCGGTGAGGAAAACACCAGCGTCTCCCCCCCGCGTTAACGGGCAGCGGCGAGGGCGCAGGGCGGCAGCGGCCGGGCAGTGTGCAGCGACAGTACTTCCGATCCCTTCCCTCAAACACCAGCCCTGCGGCCCCACACGCGGGCAGGGGGCGGCGGAGAAGCGTCCCCTTCCTTCCCCCGTCCGGCGGGCGTCTCCCGGGCGTCCCCCGGGCCCGAGCTTACCAGCTCTTTCTCGCCGCCTGAGCTCGGGTCGAGGCAGGTTCAGCGACCCGGAACATGAACCCGGCGCCTCCCCTGGCCGCTCCCCGGGGAGGCTGGCGCCGCTTCGCAGAGACTGGGCCGGGGCGGGGGCCGGCGGTGAGGTCTGGGGCTGGCGGGCGAGGGCCGGTAGGGGAGGGTGCAGGCGGCCAGCGCTGCTCCTCAGGCCCCCATGGTGAGAGCCCGGAAGCAGCTGCTGCACCGGGAGGAAGCCGGGCGCTACCATCTCTCCTCTCCGTCTCCGGCCTGGTGCCCACAGCCGCCGTGTCCCTTGCCGCGCACCTTACTTTGGCTCTGCTTCCGCTCCAGTCCGGCTACGCGGAGCTCTCGTTGCCGCCAGTGCCTCGCTTTTCTCCGCCGTTAGGGCTACGGTGGGAAGCGACACTCCGTCCCCCGCGCGGAGAGGTACGGTCCCGTTGCCATGGTGGCGGCGTCGAGTGGGCGGGAAGGAGGGGGAGAGCATGGAGGCCGTAGCTAGGCTTGAGGCGAGGTTGCTGCTGCTGCGGGAAGAGTGGTTCCATAGAAACAGGTAACCGCGTCCTGCCGGCGGTGAGTGCCTGCGGGGCTGGGGATCGAGGGGCGGGCAAGCTGCAGGCTCCCCCAGCAACGAGATCGCGGCCCTCCTGCTGAAAACGGTTTGGTTTGACAGCCCCTCCGGAGAGCACTCTCGCTCCGGCCCCCAAATCTCGCTGCAGTGATTTGAGGAGACCTGATGTCAGCCGCACATCTACTTCACGGCGTCTGACAACAGTGTCCCGCTCTTCCCTCGCCCCCTGCTAATTCCATGGGGAAAGTGCTGGAAGGCCCCGAGAGGCGGTGAGCCTCCCGAGGTCCATTCAGTGGTCTAAATCTGTAACTTATACTGATCCTGTTGGAAGGCACCAGTTGCTTTGTTCTTTGTCATTACTTGACACAGACACCCCACCACCACCACCACATTCTAAGCAAGTTACTGTTTGTTATCCACACTGTTTACAATTCCTTTCTAAATCAGGTTATGCTGCTTAAGTTTCTAGTACCTGGGACGTACTTTGTCTTTTCCTACTAAGGAAAGGAGATGCTTATTCTGCTAAAGGTGCAAAATGTCCCATGTAGAGTAACAGGCTGATGATCACCTCTTACCTTTCTCTTCATAAGCAGGACAGTCTCTGTTTTCTCTGTGTTTTCTGCGTTTATCTCTGAGTTTTCTGAGTGCTAAGATAGTGGTGGCTAACTTTTCCCAGATCAGATTTTAGAAATAAAATGTATCAAGAATTATTTTAATATTGCATCCATTTATTCTGTAGCAACTGCATTGCTGCTGCTGCTGCTGTATGGGTTGTGGTACCACTGAAACAAAAAAAAAAGCAGTATTAACATACGTGTAGTGTTACGTTTTTCTTCACTAATTAATGAATAATTTGGTTTTGAATCTAATTACAACATCATTATCGTGAATAATAAAGCCCCTGAACATCACTAAAAGTTACACAGAGTTCAATCCCTGCCTGCATATAATGTGTTGTGTTTTCCTGCTCTTTCCCAGAACTTTAGCTTGTACTCTTGTGGCTGTGCATGCATCAGTTCACTAAATAAGCATCAGTTATGGGCGACTATGCTTGTATTTCACGTAGTTCAAGTTAAAAAGAACAAGCTGGGCCAGACATGGTAATCCATTGGAGGGCAACATGCTTGAGGTTTGGGGATTTGTTTGGTGTTTTTTTTTTTTTTTTGCAGAGCTTTCAAAATATGGTTTGTTATTGGGGTTTTTTGTTCCGCTTTAAGAATAGGCTATAATCCATCAGTTTCTTGAAATTCAGATTTTCAGCTGAGAATTTAAATGAGAGGCTTCAAAATGTCCAGCTCAGCAGCTGAAAGGCTGATCAGTAATCTGATCTTTGCTCACTAGGGTGAGAATCTCAGACTACTTCAACACAGCTGCCAGGAAAGTCCTGAAACAAATCAGAATAACTTGTTTAGAGATCTTGGTAGATCCTTATTTAACTTGTAGACTGAACAAACAATTTTGGGTCATTAATGCATGTCAAATTTGCCCGGGTCTTTCTCTGAAGTATTTTTGGAGCATTTGTGTTTTGAGTCATAGAATGGTTTGGGTTGGAAGAGACCTTAAAAGTTCATCCAGTTCCAACCCCCTGCCATAGGCAGGGACACCTTCCACTAGACCATGTTGCTCCAAGCCCCATCCAGCTTGGCCTTGACCACTGCCAGGGATGGGGCAGACACAGCTTCTCTGGGCACCCTGTGTCAGCCCCTCACCACCCTCATAGGGAAAAATTTCTTCCTAATATCTAACCTAAATCTACCCTCTTTCCGTTTAAAGCCATTTCCCCTTGTCCTGTCACTGCATGTCCTTGTAACAAGTCCCTCTCCAGATTTCTTGTAGGCCCCCTTTATGTATTGGAAGACTGTTATAATGACTTCTGAGCCTTCTCTTCTCTAGGCTAAACACCCTAGTTCTCTCAGCCTGCATATACTAAATTACCATGCCGACAAATATTACTACTCTCTATTTTCAGATCTCTAGATGAAGAAAGAAAAATAGAGTACAAAGCTGCTGTCAAAATCCAGAGCTGGTTTCAAGGATGCAGAGTCCGATCCTATCTGAGGTAGTATATTAAGTCTGTCTTAATCTATACTTCAATCTTGATTTTTTGTTTTTTGACAGAATTCCTCACAGTATTACTATTGACATTGATATAATTTTTTTGGAAACACTATGGTTGGTCTCTTTTCCCAGGAGGCTATTCTCCATTTTTTTTTTTGATTATAAGCCCACCTAGTCTAACTCATGTGCTCAAATTTCTGTATCTGCATAAAAATTAGGGCTGTGAGGGGGAGGGTTTGCTGCATCTTCTAGTTTGACCTCTTCCCTTTGCAAGTCATTATGTGTCATCCAAGCATACTGTATGAAGCCTAAAGAATTATTAGGTTGAGTAACAATCACTTCATGGCAGATATTCCCTCACAAAAAGAAAGCCTACAGCCATTATGTGTTGTTGTTTAAAAAAGCACTGATAATTTGTTTTCCAGTGCTGGTTCAAGTGTGGTATCACAGGATACAACCATCACACGCAAGCGCTCAGCAGGCAAACAAACATGGTATTTCAGCCCTTCAAGGAATAACAGTTATGCCATCAGTGTCAAAAGTCCTTGCAAAGACAGAGGATTGGTTAGTGCCCCTCTGTTTCCAGCACATGAGTAACAACAGCATGCTGCAGAAGAAAGTGAAACCCCAAGTGTCTTTGCCAATCCATTCTGTAGGAAAGTGCTCTTCCAAATGCACGTTTGTAGTTAGTAATGACCACTGTAAGAACAACATAATTGTAATGAACACATAAGAACTAGATCAGCTAAGTGTAGAAGAGGATTTTCCCTGCAACTGCGTAGAGTAATCCTGCTCAATGTCCTCTTTCCAAACTTGGGTGTGGTGTCTGATTTAGGAGCACAGGCTCGATATAGCCAGTTGTGTGTTCTGAATTAGTCTCTCATTTGAATTAACTGCTGGAAAAAACTTCCTCCACCGTGTGACTCTAGCTGTATTGCAAGGGTTCTAAATTTGGCCCTGGTTAGGTGGTACAAATAGTCCCCTACATAGCTTTTTCTAGCCAGTCCCAAAGTAATGATTGTATTAGTTTCTGTGAAATTGATGTAAGACATCAGTTACGGAATTTTTAGTTGCATAATTCTATGATTCTATAATAAAGCGTGTATATATAAGGACAGAGTAAGGATTTACTTAGAATTAGCTAGATATAATTTTCTAAAAGAAAAAAATTATTTGAAAAATTTCAGATATTTGTGGGATTTGTCAAATCTTTAAAAATTCGAAAGCTGTGAAAATATTGCATGTGACTGATAAAAATTCTGAACTGGTCAGATGTGTTAGTTTAAACCATCAATGAAAATACCATCATCTACCATGCAAATTACATTTCTAGGGCTATTTCATTCAATTTTTGTAATGATAACTGAAACAGTACATAGATAAAAGTTTTCAGTAACCCATTTTTTCCAAAAGCACACATATTTATATATGTGTACATGAGTAAATATATGTATAAATTGGTTTATAAGTGTGTATGTGTGCACATATGTGTATATGTATGGAGTATGTTTGCAGTGGCCATCTGTTTGGAATATGTATGGATAATACTTAATACTTTAAGATTGGAAAAAATAAAGTTGTTTTGTAATGTCTCAAAGTAATCATTATTTTGGTAATGTATTTCATTTTAGATATCTGAACCAAATGGCAATTGTTATACAAAGGTGGTGGAGAGGATATCTAAGCAGAAAACACTTCAGAAAAATGGTGAAGGTAGGAAACTAGTTTTAAACATTTTGTTTGGTTATTTATAGAATACATCTGAAGTCATTCACTTGTCTTGAAATTCAAAAGCTGAAATGTGATCCTTTATACACATCGACATGTACTTTACTGTCATGGAAACAACCACTAGTTTCAGTAAGCCTACTCATAATGGTCAAGTTAAGTTAAAGTGTTTGCAGATCAGGAGTGTCAGCCCCCAAACTAGCAATGAGATCTGTTCATGCAGAAGCCTGCCTGCATGATGCTAATTGAAGGATTGGAACTTTTCAAGATGCTTTTTTTCCCGGCAGAACTTTTAATTCTGAAAAGAAAATAAGCCAAATTGTCTACATATTGCTGCTCCATGATTTAGTGGTTGAAATTTCTTGCTTAATGAACCTTGAAGTATTTGAGGTTTTGCCTTAAGGCACACAGGTCACAGTCAATCTAATTCTCTTGACAGACTTGAAGATAGCAGAAGTGTATGACAGGACACAAGCTAAAACTCCTGTTAGCAGGTTTAGGAGTTTAAGAAGAAACTTTTTTGCTTTTAAAAACTTGTTAAAAACTAATTTGTGGCTTGTTAAAAACTAGTTTGCTTTTAACCTAAAACAATGAGCTTAAGGTATTTAGTTTAGTTCAGTAATTTATCAATTTATGGTAATATTTTACACTAGTTTTAAACTTGTTAGCCATTTATTCTTGATTAATTTTGCTAAGGTTAAATTACTGTCTTTCAGTAAATACAGACAAGCTAAGAAAAAAAAAAAAGGAGCCATAATAACTCATATATTACAGGCTAAAATCCATACCTCCTACTAAACTGTGTTTTCGAGTAACAGGACTTGTGTGCCTGAAAGATTGTCTATTTTTTCCCCAGGTCTATCAGTAGTCTAATGAAGGATTTTACCTCCTCCAATTTACCTGCCTTATCTAATAAATTATTAGGATATGGATCCTTTCAGGCTGTGGCTTTCAGCCTGTCTTCTAAATCACTCAGTTTTTAATACAGGGCAGGTAGCTGCATGCTGAGATTGGGTTCTGCTTTAAAAAAAAAGTTGGACTTCAGTTGAATATTGTGCCTGAGTTTAGGGAAGGTTTGTTTAATCTAGGAAAGCTTCTGTAGAAGAAGGACATAATAATATTAATGTATATTAAAATTTATTAGTGGAAAGAAATGATCCATGCAGTCACTGGGAAGAGGGAAGGAAGAAATCAACTTCATATGAAACGCTGACACATACTGCTAAAACGTGTTGTGAACTCCCTTTACTGCAAGTTTTTAAGAAGAGAATAGACAAATGCATGTGTAGGGCTTAGATATGATTCAGGCAATGTTTTGGTTCTACATTTAGTTCTACATTAGTTCAAGTTCTAATTTTTTTTTCACACTTAAAACATCATAGAGTGATGCATTTCAGAAACAAGACAATTTATGTGTTTCTGTGTTTCAGGATGTCAGGTTTTGTCATCTGATCACTAGGTCTTTAAGAGGACTTAAGCAGGACAAAGGCCTGATTGTGGTAATTTTGCATGGTTTTCAATCCCCCCAAATTGTAAGGAGTTATCTTCTGGCCACTCCATATTCAAATACTAATTGTTCTGTTCATAGTAGTCAATCTCCTATTTTAAACAGAATGGTGTCACTTTAGAGGCTTATTTTCTTATATAAAGGTTGTAAAAACAGTGGTGCCCAGTTAAGATACATCACCACAGTACCTACTGTTCTTAGTGGGCTCTGTAAGTGAGATGACATGATAACTCTTCCCAGGGAGCCAGCCTGCAGCATTGTTTGGAGTTGCTGCCCAGTGACAGGATGAGAGGGTGCAAACTGGAATATAGGAAATTCCTTTTCAAAGTTAAGAAAGATCTTTTCTTGTTTTTTTAACTGAGATGGTAATCAAATACCGGAATGGGTTGCCCGGAGAGTACAAGCTGGTTTTGTAGAGTCCCCATCCTTGGAGATACTACAAACCCAACTGAAGTGCACAACTTGCTCTGATTGATTCTGCTTTGAGCAATGGTTTGGAGCTCCAGAGGTCTCTGCCAACCTCAGTTGTTCTGTGCATCTCTGAAATTGAAGGTTTTTTATCTCATCTCTTTGTTACTTCTCCCTTCTTTTGCCCTCTCTTTTAAAAAAAAAATTCTAATAGTTACATTTTAAGGTAGTCTTTCAAATTAGCATATATTTGCTGTAATAACCAGGCTGAGATAGCTAGTATCATAAACCCCCCTCAGCTTCCCATTCTTGCAATATGTTTCTGGAGATAAAAATAAAAAAGACTTGAACCAATAAAGCCTGGTTCGTGTGTAGTTCTTCAAATAGCCATAACTGACAAGCCCTTGCCAAATCTGAAGTTTGTGGAATAATGCAGGGAAAGAAATTGTGCAAGCCCACACTTAACACATTCTAAATCACACTATTAATTCATTAACTTTCTGGATTCCGGTACTTGGTCAGTATTAGGGTGCTAGAGGAGCAGAATCTCATCAGCAAACTTACATATTGTACAGTGATCAGCATGGAAAACCACCTTTTCCCCCTCAAATACTTTATTTTGTATTTGCCATCTCTTTGATTGGAGAGGACTAAATAGGACATCTTGATTGAAAAATAACCTGAAAGCCATACAAGTAGCAGATAAAGAGGTACTTTTCCCTCCCTTTAGACAGCTATATTCAGTGTTGTATATTTTGGGATGGACTTAAATGTAAAGTTTGAGTTTACTATGTATATTCATTGTTATACTATCTTTACTCCATCAGTGGCTGAATTTGGGATCAGTTAATGTTTGCACTGGATTCTTGCTAATAACTGTTGTAATGAGTCCTAAGTATGAAACACAGTGATACCTTTGACATGATAATTCCTTTAATAGACTGGTCACTTTAAAATTTGCCCACTGATAATGTTTGGATTGGTATCTGCTGCCAGCAAACAAGGCAAAGCATATGCACAAAATACCCAGGATTGCTTGATAATAAATCATTTTAATGATTATATTCAAAATGGTGAAATGTGGGTGGTACTGATGCGGAAAATAACAAAAGCTGAGGCTCATCAGATTGGCTGTCCATATGTGCATCGCTGCTAGTATTTCATTTGTTACTCTTCTGCTGCCTCTTGCTTTGATTGTTAGATATAAGTTAAAAAAAAATAAAAATATGTTTTTTATATGACTAAAGTTATGTGCCTTTCTATATTCTAAATAGAGGTTCTTTGGTATAAAGCTTTGTTTCCTAATATTAATCTCAAGCTGTGGTTGTTTAAGTCCAGACAGCAGCTAAGTACAATGCAGCCACACACTCACCCCCCACCCCTGTGGGATGTGAGGAGAGTCAGAAAAAAAAAATAAAATCCCATGGGTTGAGATAAGAATAGTTTAACAATTGAAATAAAAGTAAAATATAATACAACAACATCAATAACAATAGGATATATATATATAGAGAAAGAAAAACAGAATACCAACCAGGATCATATCTGTCTTGGTTTAAACCCAGCCAGACAGCTCGTTCACTCCCTCCCTCCCTTCTTGCCCTCCCCCTACTCCTGGAGGGACGGAGAGGAGAATCAAAAAGAATGCAACTCCCACGGCTTGAGATAAGAACAGTTTAGTAACTAAGGTACAACGCAAGTCACTACTGCTACCACCAATGATAATAATGATAAAGGAAATAACAAGGGAAGAGAAGACAACACCTCACCACCAGCCGACCGATAACGCCCCCCCCCCCCCCCAGCCCAACGCACACCCCCCCAGCCCGACTAAGCACTGACCGATAACTTGTCCAGCCCCGCACTCCTCGCCCTTCTGGGTAACTCTCCCTTACATCCTGGGCATGACGTGCTGTGGTATGGAATACCTCTTTGGTCAGTTTGGGTCAGGTGTCCTGTCTCTGCTTCTTCCTGGCTTCCCCTCCTCCCTGGCAGAGCATGAGGCTCACAAAGTCCTTGGTCAGGGTAGACATTACTTAGCAACAACTAAAAACATTGGTGTTATCAGCACTGTTCCCAGGCTGAAAGTCAAAACACAATGCTGCACCAGCTACCAAGAAGGAGAAAAATTGACTGCTACTGCACATCTGTAGGTGATCCCCAAACATGTTTTTAAACAGAAAAGGAGAAAGTAGTACAGCACTTCATACACAAAAAGCTTCAAATGTATTTTGGAACCATAGACCTACTGTAAAGTAGTAGGGAGACCTGTATATTAAAACCAGAGACAGATACAAAGACTTCATGGTTCAAAAGTGGAGGTGCTGCATGTGGGTGAGATGGCAAGATCATTCTTCTCAGAGAGTCAGCCTTGCAGTGTCACCTTGGAGTTGGTAACCAGAGCCAGTGGCAATGCTATGGGCACAGCTGAAATGCAGGAAATTCCACTTACACATAAGAGAGGAGTTTTCTGTGCAAGAAAGCACCAGTTCAGGAAAAAATCTTTTCTTTACTAGGGAACGATATAAATAGAGACTGGGGTTGAAGCACTAAATTATGGCTCTAATTCTCCATCCCTTGTAATAGCAGAACTAGTACACATTATTCTAATCAGGACTAGAAAACAGTGCAGAAGAGCCTAGATGGTTACACAGGCTTTGGCTTTAAGCACAAGGATAAGGTTGTAAGGCTGTTAATTCTGCATTTGGCTGACTTGTGATTTAGAATAGTGTTGAGTAAAAGCAGGAATATGTAATTTGCTATTTATTGTGCCTGATCTTGTTAAGTTGTGGTACGGTAAGGCCTGGATTTCTCACACCTAAGTGAAGTAAGCAATTTAGGACCCTAGTTGTCATTGACTATCTCTGTAAATGGTAGACAGAGATGCAACTGCAGAGCTCTTCAGTACTTTGCCAAGCTCAGAAGGAAAGTGGTCCCACTGTCTTCCAATATTGATAATATAAAGAGCATTGTGATGTTAGGTCTCTGACTGAGGTTCTTCAGAGAAAGGGGATGTATTCAGACCTAACAGCCTTAAAATAAGAGAATAAACAAAGATGTGAGTTTAGTTTAATAAGTAATGGACAGAAATGAGGATTTTTAAGCTTAGACATTCCCATTAAAAAAGTACTTTATTTATTTGGTGGAAGGGCAAGAAAGAAGGTGGTACAAAAGAAGAAGGGATGAGCTGCAAAGCAAAGTTGTATCAATTTAATCAAGCAGTTTAGGAATATACTTAGCCCTGGCAACCATTATTTCATTCTAGTATTAGCCATCTACAGTCAGTATCACTCAGGAAACATTTATGGAGACAAAAGGGGTGACAGAATCCACTATTCTAATTCATATCTTTGAGGTGGAGATTCCCTTAAATATATATGTGTATGTGTGTATGTATACACACATATATGAAGAACTTGTTTGAAATTTAACAGTCCTGCATTTTTCTTTTATATCAGAAATATCTTTTCTACTGTTTCCATTATTAGTAGATTGGTATGATATGAAAGTGAGCATTTAAAATGCACCTTAATTAAAGTGCAGGAATTATGCCTTGCTTAATGTAATGAAGAAAGAGAATTTAAAATGAAGTAGCATCATTGTGTTCATTTGTAAATAACATATTGCAGCCAACTGTTTCTTAATTGCCCAGACTGTTGATAAATAATCCAGTCCTGCTGCTCTCCACAGACAATTTGCTTTGGATCAGACTAGGCAATTCAAATAACACTAATTACAGTGAAACCCTTTTATAGTGAATTCCTGTTTGCCATGGGGGAGAAAATCACTATATCGGGGGAAAGCACTTTTGCCTTTGATTTGTGTCTAAAACATGAGAAACATATAAAAGCTACATGTTGTGCTAAATAAAGGACATACTCTTGCATTCAAAGTACTTATATTTTACTTTTTATGATACAATTGTGAATTATGTTCATTTTGCATTTGTAATTAGAGGGTGGAACAGATGTGAAAGCTTAGTTTAAAGTGATGTATCCATTAAAATAACCTATGCTGCCAAGTGATTGCTTAGTATAATAGGGGATTCGTTCACTATGAGAGGAATTCTACTTTATTGGAAAGAAACCAGGACTTCAGGAAATGTTTTCTATGTCAGGGGATTCACTGTAACATGGTATCGTTGTATTTATGATTTTATGATGTTAAAATGAATATTAAATGAAATAAAATTCCCAAGGATTACTCAGGAGGCAGCTAAGTACATAACATTTAGTACAGATGGTTGGAAGGCACAATTTTGCTCCATCACTGCGTATGTATCCTTGAACGATTTCGACTGAAGACAGCATTTCTTTGAAATTTTCATTAAACCAGACGTCTTGAAATATGAATTCCTTTTATGTTTCTGTGAGTTTTGGCTAAAAGAACCCCAGTGAATAAATCATACATGATACTACGTGTCACCAGCACTTGTGAATATTTCTGCTTTGTTATTCTACTCTCAGTAGAGCACCATTGATTATCAAACTCAGCGGAGAGCATTTTATGATCATATATCTCCATTAGCTCCTAGTTTGACTACCATAGATTTTTCTGGTTAAGCCTGCATTATGTATTAGGAAGCCTATCTCTTCAATACAAAGTTTGATTTTATTCTCTCTAAGACTAGAATTCTTATTATGTATTATGTATAAAGATTCTTATCTTTTATATGTAAAAATAGGAGCACTGTCTTTGTGCAACTGAAATATAAGCCTTCTTTTCTTCCCCCCTTGATTCACAGACAGCATATTTTATGATGAAGATGAATTTCTACAATGAAATGGCTGTCAGGGTAAATATTTCTTCACTTGTTAAACAAATGAAAAAGTCAATTGTGCTCCGAATTTGCTTTTAATAAAATGAGCAAACCAGAATAATATACACTTGATTGATATGCTGATGGCAACAGTGGGAAATGGTACATAGTTAAAAATTAAAGTTACATTCAGTAGTCTGGGTTGTATTTGAAAGCTGTTGCTGAATTTAAGGCATCTGCATGTGTCTTGCTGTATTGACTTCTTTCTACCTTACCAGATATGATATTGATAAAACCCTGAAACATTCTAGCTGTATTCTTACAAATGTAGACATATATTAACAATTCTAACAAACGAGAGGGATTTTGGGTTTGTTGATGTGGCTGTGCTTTTTCTTATGTTAGTACATCGTGAGATGGTCAAGTTTGAGATCCTCAGGACAGTGAGAAGAGCGTGCAGCAAGCTCACTGCCCTGGACTTCAAGAGAGCAGACTTTGGCCTCTTCAGGAACCTGCTTAGTAAGGTTCCATGGGATATAGCCTTAGAGGGCAGGGGGTCCCAAGAGTGTTGGTTGATATTCAAGGATCACCTGCTACAAGCTCAGGAATGTTGCATCTTGACTAGAAGGAAGTGCAGCAGGAGGGCCAGGGACCTCCTTGGATGGATAAGGGATGCTGAGGGAAAAAAAGAGGCTTGTAAAAAGTGGAAAGAAGGACAGGCAGCCTGGGAAGATTACAGGGATGTTGTCTGGGAAGCTATGGACCAGGTTAGGAAAGCCAAGGCCCAGTTAGAATTAAAGTTGGCTATGGATGTTAAAGATATCAGGAAGGGATTCTATCGGTACATAGCGAATAAAAGACAGGCTAGGGACAATGTAGGCCCTCTCTGAAAGCTATCCGGAGAACTGGATTTGGAGAAGGATTACTGGATTTGGAACTGGATTACCCTGGATTTGGAGAAGGCTGAGGTTCTTAATGACTTCTTTGCCTCAGTCTTCACTGGCAAATGAACTGACGAATGAAGTTGCTAAGGCAGTGTCCATCATATTTGAAAAATCATGGCAGTCAGGTGAAGTTCCCGATGACTGGAAAAACGGAAATATAACCCCCATTTTCAAGAAGGGGAAAATGGATGACCCAGGGAACTACAGACCAGTCAGTCTCACCTCTGTGCCTGGCAAAATCTTGGAGCAGATTCTCCTGGGAGGCATGCTAAGGCACATGAAAATCAACAACGTGCTTGGCGACAGCCTGCATGGCTTCACTAAGGGAAAATCCTGCCTGACCAATTTGGTGGCCTTCTATGATGGGGCTACGGAACTGATGGATAGGGGTAGAGCGGCTGACATCATCTACCTGGACTTGTGCAAAGGTTTAGAGACTGTCCTGTAAGACATCCTTGTCTGTAAATTGGAGAGACATGAATTTGATGGGTGGACCCCTGGGTGGATAAAGAACTGGCTGGATGGCCGCACACAAAGAGTTGTGGTCAATGGCTCGATATCCAGCTGGAGACCAGTAATGAGTGGTGTCCCTCAGGGATCGGTGTTGGGACTAGTCTTGTTCAACATTTTTGTTGGTGACATGGACAGTGGGATTGAGTGCGCCCTCAGCAAGTTTGCCAATGACACCAAGCTGTGTGGTTTGGTTGATCCGCTGGAGGGAAGGAATGGCATCCAGAGGGACCTTGACAGGCTTGTGAGGTGGGCTGATGCCAACCTCATGAAGTTTAACCATGCCAAGTGCAAGGTCCTACACCTGGGTGGGAGCAATCCCAGGCACAGCTACAGGTTGGGCAGAGAAAAGTTTCAGAGCAGCCCTGCAGAGAAGGACTTGGGGGTGCTGGTTGATGACAAAATGAACATGAGCCGGCTGCAGTGTGCCCTTGCAGCCCAGAAAGCCAACCGTATCCTGGGCTGCATCAAAAGGTCCAAGGAGGCGATCCTGCCCTTCTGCTCTGCTCTTGTGAGACCTCACTTGGAGTATTGTGTGCAGTTCTGGTGTCCTCAACATCAAAAGGACATGGAAGTGTTGGAACAAGTCCAGAGGAGGGCCACGAGGATGATCAGGGGACTGGAACACCTCCCATATGAAGACAGGCTGAGAAAGTTGGGGCTGTTCATCCTGGAGAAGAGAAGGCTGTGTGGAGACCTCATAGCAGCCTTCCAGTATCTGAAAGGGGGCCTATAGGGATGCTGGGGAGGGACTCTTCATTAGGGACTGTAGTGATAGGACAAGGGGTAATGGATTAAAACTTAAACAGGGGAAGTTTAGATTGGATGTAAGGAGGAAGTCCTTTCCTGTTAGGGTGGTGAGGCACTAGAATGGGTTGCCCAAGGATGTTGTGAATGCTCCATGGCTGTGTGTTCAAGGCCAGGTTGGACAGAGCCTTGGGTGACATGGTTTAGTGTGAGGTGTCCCTGCCTGTGCAGGGGAGTTGGAACTAGATGATCTTAAGGTCCTTTCCAACCCTGACTAATCTATGATTCTATGATTCTGCATGACATTTGATGCATGGAATCTTGTAAGAGTTACTCGGAAAGCACAGGACAATTTCATTGCCTAAACATAGAGGTGGACCTGCACTGAGCTTGCTGATGTTTGAGTGAATTTTGCTAGATGAAGAGGAGTATAAACAGTCCTTGAACTTTAGTAAATATACAGCAAATTATGATTGTTATGAGGAAAGCTGCAAAATAATTTAGAATATATATAATTTCTGGAAAATATCTAGAAATCAGCAATTTTTCCTCTACTTTGGAACCACAATTAAACAAATATATAGAACAAACATGGGAAGGACATGAGAGATTTTTTTTAGGTGAAATATTTTTATCTCACTTAATTCTTCTATTTTGTGGAATAAACACACTTTAGAGGCCTATAACTTTTTTGGCAAGGCATCCTACCTTTCAAATACTACCAAAACTTGGAATGTGGTAGGAATGGAGAGTAACCCAAGGAAACTCCTGTAAAGTAGGAAGAATCTGAGAACAGATTTTAATTTTGTGGCTTTTCCAGTTCCAAAAGATCTCAGACTCGAGAGATGTGTTCCCATCAGGTTTTTGACTTGGTGCGGGTTCTTTCAGAGGCACAAAACAGAATCTTACATTTGGTGCATGTTAGAGAGCTGAACAGCAATCTAATTCTTCAGAATTTTTTTTTTTTTTTTTTGAGGGGAGAGAGTTTAGTTTATATAGGTTTTTTTTTTTTTTTTTTAGTTATTTTATTTGGTTATTAGCTAGGTTGAAAGTATTCCACACTGGGGAGAAAACAGGAGATGCGAGCTAGCTCTTAAAAGTTGGCTGTGTACTTTTAGAAGGCGTTTGAAGACCAAATTCCAGAGGCAATTATGTAATCTAATCAAATGAAGTTTTACGTTTAGTCTTTCATTTTTAAAAGAAATGGAATGTATTCCCATTCATTTATAATGGAAATATAATGTTGAATCATTAGGTGATATAAATCGTCAAAATACCATTGTTTTCAGTCATGTCCTTTTCTTTAATGGAAATTTAAATCAGTAGAAAACAATACAACAGATCTTTAATTGCAAATGTCAGAATACCATTCTCTTGTATCTAAATATTGCGCAGCCATATCTGCAGAGCAGATTGAAAACACTACCATTCTGAAGCACTGAATGTTTTGGCGTTGGGTTGTTTGCTGTCGTCTGTTTTTGAAGAATGAGCCAAAGCCCAGGAAAATAGACAATGAGGCCTGTTGAGTTTCTGCACAGATGTGTGGCCAGGCTTTAGGTTTCCTAAGCCAACAGTGCCTCATATTCACACATTGTGTGCTTCATTCATGATTAATATGCTTAAGTATTCTGAAAATATAACAATAACTGTGTGGGTTTGGTTTATTTTTTCTGTTTAACCACTTAGTTTTGCCTCATAGTTTTATTAAACTATTTATTTCAGTTTATAGTCATTGATTAGAAAGGCGTATTTAGTTCTCACTATTGAAGTATCATTGAGGGTGTACACATGCTCAGTTTCTAAGTCAGCTTAAATCTCTGTCTCTCTGCATTTAGTTGTAACCAGAACTATCAGGTTCACCCTTTCAAATTAAATCAGAGAACTTGTTTAAATCAATTTCAGTTTTGACTAATAAGTCAGAACGTGATTCTCTCCCTGAAAAGATTTAAGTTTGCTAAAATTTCCAGCAACAAAAGTAATCCTGTGGAAAAAAAAAACCCCAAAACTATTTTCCGTGAGCAGATGGCTTTTGATATATCAAGGTTTTGCCATTTGTTTTAGTGCTTAAAATAAACATTATTTATAAGACCACTTACATTTTGATGTTACTTAATGAGGAATATGCATCATTGATTTGACTAGCTTAAGAGGTCATTTAGAACTTGCCCGTTAACAAGCTGTAATCTGCTGAGCACACAATGACTTTGGTTAAAATGATCTGTTCAGTGCTGATCAATGACAATAATTGTTTTGTACCAATCACTGTTGAAACTTGCTAATTACTTTGAAGGGCATAAACACTTCTATTTTTTTCCTCAAGAATTTTTAAACATTCACCTTGGAATTAAAAAGAAATGTATTTATAGCATATTCTAGTTCCATATAAAAGCAAACATTTACAACTTGCACATGGAAAATATGAACATCATCAGAAGCTCTGTGTAAAACATTCAAAAAGATTAGTCGTGAAAAGACATACAGTATTAGGGAAACAGAAGCCTAGCATAAAATAATTTGAGGCAAAATGCAGTTTTTCTTGCTTATGTTTCATTCAGTTGGAATCAGTGAGGTCATTCTGAACAGCAAGTGGTGTAAATAAAGGTAGAATGCAGCATTTAATTGGTATGCTGAGCCCATTGGAGATAATTATAGCTTTATGCAATGTGAGTCTTTTGTCTTTCAGTTTGAGTTTTGATCCTTTAACCCAGAACTATCCACTTCTGCATTTATAACTGTGAGGTGAAGACTGTCAGAAAGAGTTCCAAAGGGACCATAATCCTGCATTAATGAGCACACAGCTAGATGGGAGCCAAGTTGCTCTTGTTGAGAAATTTTGAAGCCGAACAGAAAAACAAAGCTAAGATCTTTATTTACATGCAAAGGATTTTGCTTAATCCCATATCTCGGAAGGCATAGTCATTCTTTGCTCTTTCACTATCCCTTTTTAACCCAGTAAGCTTGTATATGAGAAAGTGGAGTTGCAAAGAGTATGAAATTTACTATCACTTAGTGCAAAGAAGCATGTCTAGTGCTTAAACTTTCTTGTTCCCATGTTCTGCTACTCACATAACTGTTATGTATACATATTATAACAATGTCTAGAGGTCCAAACCCTTTTTTTTAGTCAAAAAACTCCAAACAACAACACATGGGTAAAAGAAAATGCCAACTTTTAAAATTAGTCATGAGTCTTACTTGTGAAGAGAGGAAAATACATGAAGATGCACAAAGGGGAAATAGAAGAGTGTATTAACACTAGAAGCTATTATCCTCTTATTCCTAATAGCTTTAGTGCATCATTTGATTTTCTTGGTGACTCGTCACTCAAAGACTTACCGAAGGCTTTATTTATTCTCTCGCTAAATCTTACATAAAAGATATGTAACACTTACCAACTCCACTTACCAACTCATCCCTTGGTTCTGGAAAGAGAAGGGTAGGTGTAAAGGGAAAAAAAAACAACAAACCAAAACAAAAAATATTCCCTGTAGATAAACTGAAGAGTTTAAGTTCTTGAAAAGTCTAGTAGCCAGAGGAAAAGGAGAGCTCTCGGCAGTTTGCAGCATTCTCTTCAGTGCACTTAGTGAAGGGGTGTAGCTTCTCATGATGGAATTGTTTTGGATCAGAAGACCTCAGTCTTTTTGCCTTTTTAATGTAGATTCTGCCTTTCAGCTGTTATGTCTCTTAAAATATCAAAGCTGTAAAGGTCCAAGAGATAGAAGTTGGAGGAGGAGTGGAAGTAATGCAGACTAGAAGTAATTAGGAGATGCATCATCTTACACTGGAGATGAAAGAAGTGCAGTTTGTAAATGATATTTAGAGAAAGCCTGATTCATTGAGTTACCAGAAAGGCTTCTATTCAGTTTAGATTATATACAGAACACAAAAGTGAGAGTGTAGTGGAAGATACTGGCAAGCTGGTGAATCAGTAATTAATGTATGTTACACCTGACAAAAGACACCACTTCTGTGCTGCTTTTTTGCTGTTTTTAGAGCAATGCCACTGGCAGTAGCAGACACTTCTTTTCATTGTCACACCCCAATATAGTTGTTTTTTTTTAAACTTGATATTATGTTTTTGATGTTGGCATTTAATAGTAAATTCATATCACCATTTAAATACAATATGTTACATCCTACCCTTGTTTTCTTCATTGAAACATAGTGGTGTTTCTACTTGATATCACTTTTAAGGAAACCATATTATTTGCGAAATACAGCAGGTTTTTGATATGCATACAAACTTTTGATTTGAAATGTACTAAGCAGGTATTTATTTCTTCTAGATTCAGAAAAGATGGCGAGGCTATTATATTCGGAAATATGTCCATAATTATTATGCACTGAAGGAATACCTGGAAGCCATTTCTGTGAATAACGATATTGTCAGGTAAAGATAAACCTCCATGGGCTAATGTATTCATTTCCTCTTCTTTTATTTGTAAAAAGTGCATGGCACTATTTAAACTGTTTCTTTGAGTGCAGGTTCCCTTCCATTATCAACTATATATGTATGTATCAGTCATCATCACTTTAACCTAAGCCTGTGCATGTTGCACCAAATTCTGTTCTCATTTACACTCTTAGGAATTCAAAATAATTTCTTTGAATTCATTAGGCAGACTCTGGGTTTGTACCAGTTTCATAAATTTGAATTGGGCTTTTCATCTCTGCTCAGAGCTCATAGATCATTATGCCGAATATATGGTTTGTTGAACTAGTTTAGTTGGTTTCCCAGTATACACAAGCTAAAAAAAAAAAAAAATGGTTTCATAGTTTATTTTGCAAATTGATTAGTGACAATGAATGAAAGTGCAGATATAGATCTGAGTTACATGCATTAGCAATGCTATGAATGTTAATTGTGAAAAGGGCTGGTGTAGATATAGTGAAGCAGGTTCGTTTCATAGTTACAGAAGAGATTCACTTGCCTATTAGATTTCTGGCTAGAACTGTTGTTGCTGTATGCTCCTACTCTATTTCTTCTATCCAGCTCCTGTCTTTCCCTGTACTTAAGTTGAAAGCTGTATAAAACAGAGGCAATTATTTCCCTTTAGCACATTTGATGTCCTGATCCATGACTATTTCTTCAGAGAACAGTGGAAACAGAAAAAATAGTGGGTTTCCATGATTATTACTTTATCCTTGTAAGTGAAAGTGTTGAACAAAATCCATCAATTTTTTGCTCTTCAGAATGCCTGAGACAAATCTTTGCTTTCTGAAGCATAGAAATACAAGGCAGTCTAGTGAAAAAGTATTTCTGGAAATCTTGTCTAGATCACATGGCAGACAATTCAGCCAGAAAACTGTTAAAGAAAAAAGAATATGTAAGTTACAGATGAAAAGAAAGAATTATTCCACTTCTTTGGACACTGCTTATTAATTTATAATGTTTTTCCACAATTATAGATGATGATACGTCCTTTTTGTCATAGCATTATAACTCGTGCATTACACTGTTACATGTAATGAAACACACTCATAACTACTTCCTTTAATCTCTCATTGCTATTCATTTAAATGTATTCTATGCAGAAAGTTAAATTATAGCTATGCAAAACCAGACTTAAAAAACCTATCATCTCTTCAATTGTACCTTCTTGTTCTGAAATCTTTGAAGTATGTTGTCTTCTTGAAAATGTAGAATTCTAGGAAGACTAGACCAAATTGTGGAAAGTAAATGAAGCCATAATTTTTCTGGTTTAAAATGAATATAACTGAAATAAACTGCAGAGACACAACCTTCTTCTCTGTTTGTAATAGTTCAAACACTCTTCTCTATTCCCTGCCTAAACCTGCAAAAAGGCTCATAACTTGTCAGTTAGATCAACCTTTGATGTGTGTGAATAAAACAAGGTAACCAGTAGTGTTCCTGCTGTACTGAACACAGGTTGATTGGAGCTTTGTATTTTATTTTCCAAAATCCATAACAGATTTCTGCTGGGTACATCTAACTTTGCAGGACTACAAAAATACCTTTCTTTAATTACTTTGATAGGTTCATTAAATTCCCTAGAATTTGTCCAGGTGTTTAAAAACCATAAAGCCTATCCATTGGGTATATTTTAATCAGGAAATACTTTTTTGCTGCTTTTCTTTACTAAGTAAAGTGAGCAGTGTAACTTCAGGTACGTCAAATTGTCTCAGATGGTCCATGTAAACTCTTACCCAGCAACTGATATATTCATACTCTGCTAATTTGAGTTCTGTCTTTGAGAATTTACATAATTTTATATCTTTCAGATGAAATGAAAAATCCATCTTCTGAATTAAAAGTTAATGAATTTTTGCGTGAATTTGGTCACTTATCTCAAACAATACAAGTTTCAGTTTTAAAAATGCATCAGTTTTCAAGTGCAATCAAGTCACTGCAGTAATCTCTTTACTGGGGAACATTTGTAATCAAATACATATATTCTCATGAAGGCTAGCGGATGTTTAATGAAGATGAGGTTTAAGCCCTCAGCAAAACAGATTTTTCCTGTCATTGGGCTAAGATGCTGTCAATTACTTTGGCCCCAAGGCAGAGAGTGTTTCTTATGAGGAATACTGAGCAAAATGGAAAGATTCTCTGCATATTTTCGTCAGTCATCACATATGGAAGACTATAACCTCATTGTTTGTAAACATTTTTGCATATAAACGAAAGAGCACAACCTAACAGATGAAGTAATGCATTTTTTCTCATTTGTCTTATAGCTGTATTCACCAGAATATATGCATTGTGCAGTGTCAGTGCTAGTAAAGAACCAAGTTTCTTCACAAACAGCAAATGAATCACTGTAAAACAGAGACTGACTTTAAGGACTCCAGTGATATAACCCCCCCCCAAAAAAAAAACAACTAACCAAACAATGAAAAAAACAACAAAATACACATGAGAAGTTTATAATTCCAAAATCTCTTTAAACAGTATTCTTTCTGGAATTATGGTGTGATTGTAAACTGAACTAAAAAGTATCGTTCTCAGTCTTATACTCTAGAATAATGCTGACAGAATTCTTATCAACAGCTACCGGAAATCACATTTCAGGTCCTTCCCTCTTGGTCTCCAGAACCCCAGGAGTTGTGCTTATTTTTCTCCCCTTTCATTAAGGAGGAGCCTGTATCAGCTTACCATTCAGTACTTTCTAAGGGAAACTTCAGAGGAGATTGCCAGAGAACTGAACATTCTGTTAGTTTCTTAGAAGAGTATCTTATAAGACTTAGTGAACAAAGTTTGTTTCCTTCACTCTTCTCCTTTGTCCTATTTTTTTAAATATAAGACACATCCCCCACTAAAAGGTTTTCTCAACCAGTAGTCACATTTTTACCATTCAGCTTTAATACAAGCCGTCCTTATTTAATAGCTACCCTCATTTAGTAGCCAGACCTTTATCATTTGTCTTTACTGTGAAAACCCCAGGAGAAAGTAAACTTAATAGAAGCTGCCTCAGTTTAAAGCCATAGAGGGATGTAATTAAGTTTAACAGAAATTGATTCTAACAGAAGTTGACCTAAAATATAATTAAATAATAATAGTCATATTATGTGTGAGGTTCTACTCACTTAACAGACTGCTTATCCTAACTTAAGGCACTAGTTTTTTATGAACTGAAGGTAGCTGTCGGCTTTAGCTCCCAGACTGGCTGAAGAGTATGTGGGGTTTCCTCCAGCATTCCCATTACTTCTCACTGCTGCATAAGCAATAGATGTGATGGCTGATGGTGTCCCCAGTAGAGTCCCTAGTAGTTAAGTTGAGAAGTGATACGAAGAATCCCTTGACAGACGGCAAAAAATGAATTTGAACCCTGAACTCTGCCTACGTGAGGGCAGACTAAGACTTTTCTTGGTATTTGTACAGTTTAGCCTCAGTGTGATAGTGAAAGGGGTTCATCAGTCCTGAATTCTGTTTTGCCTACAAGATTTAGGAAGTTCTAAACTGAGCAAGTAGGAAACCTGTTCTTAAATATTTATTTTACAATAAATATTTTAGTAATAAGTCTTCCTCCATAGCATCTGTTTGTATTTAAATAAGTACCAACTCATACTGTATTCTATCTAGATATGGATTAGTTGGGTGATTGCATATATACATGCATGCATGCATTAAAATGAATTCCATTACTTCTCAGTAAAGTTCATGTATTTAATTTTAAGGAAATGTACCTTGTTTTGAAATATTCTTCTAGCTACCTTTAACATCTCTAAGACCTAGAAAAATGGTTACCAGGGGAAATATGCCAAAAGCAATTAGCATAGGCTATAACTCCATATGATGCATTAGAATTTTGGTTTATGTGAAACAGTTTCCAATCCATGATAAGCAAATTGACATCACTTCACATAAATTAGCATGCTGGTACCATTATATCAGAAGAATTTATGGGTGATGTCAGTTGCCCAACTGTGTGATTAACTTGCAGTTCTTTGACTAAGGTTATCTACGCACTGGCCTCTAAACTACAGTAAAGCAACTTTGCTATATGTCAGGTGTGCAACTAGAGATAAGATTTGGGGATGTAGTGCTCCATTTGCTGATGAATGGCACCATTTAAATTTTTTCCCTAGACACAGGACTCAGTAAGATAGCAGTATCAGAAAACTAACAAAGCAGTGGCCAAGTCCTGGCATTGGGTTTCTCATGTAATCAAGGCAGTTAGTTTAAATTTCTTGGCTATTAAATAAATAGTGACTTAAAGGTAGCAAACTAAGACTTGATCTGGCTTTAGCAAGCATAGTACTGTATGTAAATGCTGTCATGTGTATAAATCATGAATTCACACACTTACAGGGTTGACACCAAATTATTCTATTGTTGCTGGCTATAGTAGTAAAAAAGCCTTGAGAGTGGCCCTGAAGGGTGTGACTTTCATCCAAGTTTGAGCAGCTGTTCTATGAGCAGATTTAATATCACAGTCATCATTAAAGCTTTTTGGTCCTCAAGAAATATCAGGGAAATAGATAATGCAAAGTGATACAAATTGCTTCCTTGGCAATATGTATATCCACAAATCCTTTGTGCAGCCTGATTTTTTATTAAATTAATGAACAGTGAAATACAGTGCTGTTACATGTTGCTGGTGGTCTAATCCAAGGTTTAGCCTTTCTTCAAATATGCCTGAGCATGTAGGACTGAGAGAGGTAAGAGTATCAAGCTTATTCTTGATTAGTAGAGCACTACTGACGTCTGTTTGCTTTTAACATGGCAAGTACTTTACTGCTTAAAACTTTTGAGGTAGTGCTGTTTTCCATGAAGTGGGCTTGAATTAAATCATCTGCCATCATAGTAATACGAGGAGAATTTGCTCAGCATCAACCTCTCTGTTCGTTTATGATAAGTCCAAGTGCTGGCCATTCTTTCAAGTGTCAAAGCATTTTGAAGTATGTATATATTGTCTTATAATTCAA